AACTAAAATACTAAAATAAAAACAATTAGACAATACTCAATTAAACTATTAGTTTAAATTTAAAATTTTTAAAGCCACTGTAATGAACCTTTTCCACATTTCAATTTTATTTTGTTTTGCAAGATGTGTTTATAACTCCTCCTCTCTATATACTTGATCACATTAAAGGGTTTTTAATTGAGATTAAACCAACAAAGTAAGCTGTTGTTTGCTACTGGAGGATACTAGGATGTGCGTTTTTCATATTCAAAGAGTCCTAGATTCCAGTTTGCAAATGAAATTTCTATTGTACAGGATTGAGACTTAAGAGTATTATTATTCAGCAATAGGAGGACGTCCTTTAGTACTAAAATACATGAGAGCTATTAATGCTTGAACATGCAACAAATGGCAACTTGTAAGTCTGAAACAGTGCTTTAACTAATTTCTATGGTCATTATTACTAAGAAGCAGTTGAAGGTTAGATGGGTGAGAATAAAATAGCAGGATCTAAAGTGATGGATTATACTGTGAAGGGTTAGGTGAGAGTTTTGTTACTTGCTTACTGGTGCATTTGATAAATATGTAGAATCTGGCTTTCATCTGAGAAAAGAATGGTGAACTAGTATATGAACATTGATTTGATTCTGCAAGGCAATTGTGTTCTTAATAAAGATACATGGACAAATATCTACCTATTGTTCCACCTCGAGAATTCAAGTGATCACATTTGATTATTATAATTTGCAGAGATTATTCCTGTCTACAAATCTATACAAGTATTAAACTGATTCCATGAGATAATTAGGCAACTATATTCCAGGTAAATGAGAATGCAGTACATTAAAATTGGAAAAAATAAAACCTACACATTTTGCAACATTTTGAGCATTGAATGACAATTTATTTATTTATTTATTGCAGTTACTTATACCCCGCCCTTCTCACCCCCGAGGGGGGACTCAGGGCGGCTTACAAACAAAGGCACAAATTCGATGCCTGTCAAAATATACAGCATATATAAAACAGTATAAACATTTAACAGAATTAAAACACATCACTACATAATATAATAAAAACAATTTCATGCACAGTGATTCAGAGTTCCGAAATGTCCATTCATTCCAACAATTCCTGCTCATCAATGGGTCCTTATTTTAGCTGCCAGAATGTCCAAAAGCTTGGTCCCAAATCCAGGTCTTTAGTTTTTTCCTGAACAACAGAAGGGAGGTCGCTGATCTGATCTCCCCGGGGAGTGAGTTCCATAGGTGAGGGGCCACCACCGAGAAGGCCCTGCTCCTCGTCCCCGCCAACCTCACTTGAGATAAAGGCGGGGTCGAGAGCAGGGCCTCCCCAGATGATCTCTGGAAACTAAAGGTTGAATCCTTGCTTGGCCCTGAAATAACACTCTCTCTGCCTCAGAGGAAGCCAATGGGCAAACCTCTTCTGAACCAATCTTGCAAAAACAAAAACAAAACAAACCCCTCTGTGCTTTAGTGTAGCTATAGGTCGGAAACAACTTGAAGGCACACAACCACAACAAAAAATAATATAAAGCTTTAAGGCAACGTGTGTTTTTTAAATCATCATACTGTTCTATGGAATGTCATTTGGTTCAAATAGATTCTGGAGAATTAGGCATTATTTTTTAATTACCAGTATCCAAACATATGTATACAGTATGTCAGGTCAATGGTCCAGGGCGTTCAGATAGTTTAGTCCAGAGCTTTCCAAATATTTCATGTTAATGACACTGACACAGGTAGCGGGGGGGGGGCTTGAGGGGCTTCAGCCCCCCCCCCGAAATTCTCATGGTGGTTCGCGAAAAAGGCCTTACTGGTGCATTATTTAAACTGTTATGTTTATTCATATCATGATCTGATCACCATACTCAATATATCCCATATGCATGGGGGTATTGGGGTAATGATACAAAAGGTTTGCTAGGGTAGACCCTCTTTCACTCAGGCTCAGCCCCTCCCCCCCGCCCCCGCGAATCGAAATCCTGGCTACGGGCCTGCACTGACGCAGCAATTCAATGTTATAAGCAAACCGCAAGTTAAATCAACCTCTTATAATATACTAGCTGTCCCCTGCCACGCATTGCTGTGGCCCACATGGGGCTTCTGTGTGGGAGGTTTGGCCCAATTCTATTGTTGGTGGAGTTCAGAATGCTCTGTGATTGTAGGTGAACTATAAATCCCAGCAACTACAACTCCCAAATGTCAAGATTCAATTTTCCCCAAACTCCACCAGTGTTCACATTTGGGCATATTGAGTATTCGTGTAGAGTTTGGTCCAGATCCATCATTGTTTGAGTCCACAGTGATCTCTGGATGTAGGTGAACTTCAACTCCAAAACCAAAGGACACTGCCCACCAAACCCTTCCAGTATTTTCTGTTGGTCATGGGAGAACTGTGTGCCAAGTTTGGTTCAATTCGATTGTCGGTGGGGTTCAGAATGCTCTTTGATTGTAGGTGAACTATAAATCCCAGCAACTACAACTCCCAAATGATAAAGCAATTTCTTTGAGTGAAGGACATACACTGGGTTGTTAGGTGTCTTGTTTCCAAATTTGGTGTCAATTCGTCCAGTGGTTTTTGAGTTCTGTTAATCTCACAAACGAACATTACTTTTTATTTATATAGATATGGATGAAATGTATGGGGACAAACATATCTCAGAAAAACCTTGCATTTATATTTTTCAAAATGTAATGCAGATTGAACTGCATTATATGGTCAGTGTAGACTCCTAATCAGTTAAACTGCATTATATGAGTCTATACTGACCATATAGACTCGAGGATGTGAAACCCGAGGATGTGGACAAGATACTTGGAGGAATGAGGCCCACCACGTCCATCCTAGACCCCTGCCCATCCTGGCTTCTGAAGGAGGCCAGAGGGGGATTGGCTGAGTGGGTAACGGTGGTGGTTAATGCCTCCCTTAGGGAAGGCAGATTCCAGCGAGCTTAAAACAAGCTATTATAAAACCGCTGTTGAAGAAACCATCATTGGACCCCACTAAATTTGACAACTTTCGGCCTGTTTCCAATCTCCCCTTTTTGGGCAAAGTCATGGAAAGCGTGGTGGCCTCACGGGAGCTAGACAGGGGGAGTGTGTCCCTGTTGGTGCTCCTGGACCTCTCAGCGGCCTTCGATACCGTCGACCACGGTATCCTTCTGAGGCGCCTTGCGGAGATGGGTCTTGGGGGCACTGCTCTGCAGTGGCTCCAGTCATTTCTGGAGGGTCGTACTCAGAAGGTGTTATTGGGGGACTCCTGTTCAACACCACAGCCTTTGACCTGTGGCGTTCCACAGGGTTCTATACTGTCCCCCATGCTGTTTAATATCTACATGAAGCCGCTGGGTGAGATCATCCGGAGTTTCGGGGTGCGGTGTCATCTGTACGCAGATGATGTCCAACTCTGTCACTCCTTCCCACCTGCTACTAAGGAGGCTGTCGGGTCCTGAACCGGTGCCTGGCCGCTGTAATGGTCTGGATGAGGGCGAACAAACTGAAATTAAATCCAGACAAGACAGAGGTACTCCTGGTCAGTCGCAAGGCCGAACAGGGTATAGGGTTACAGCCTGTGCTGGACGGGGTCGCACGAGAGAAAGGGCCTTCTCGGTGGTGGCCCCCCGGCTGTGGAACACCCTCCCTGTTGACATCAGACAGGCGCCCTCCCTTATGGCTTTCCGTAAGAGCCTAAAGACCTGGCTATTTGAAAAGGCATTTAATTGAGTGCTATACAAACTGGTAATGACAATTGGAACGGAATACGGACTATGAGATTGGCTATGATTCTATGTGTGACGATGCGGATTAGCTTAGTGTAAATTAGTTTAGTGTGTATTAGTGAAATGTTGATTTTGTTGTGCTTCATTGTATACTGTTTTTATATGTTGTACACCGCCACGAGTCGCCCTAGGGCTGAGAGCGGCGGTTAACAAATGCAGTAAATAAATAATAAATAAATATAATGCAGCTCAATCTGCATTATAATTGCAGTGTAGATCGGGCCTCAGAGGTGTCTCCTTATGTGACACATCTACACACTGTCACCAACACACTAATGTCTTGCAACACACCGTTTGGAAAGCTCTGGTCTAGTTTCTTGCCTTTTTTTGGCGTCAGATGAAATAACAGGACCCCCCTCCTCTGTTTTGTGCTCTGGGTGACAAACATGGGCATTTCTACTTGAACTGGACTTTTCAATACCTGTTTCCAATTTTTCCTGGTAACTGGAGCATAACATATGGATAGAAGTCCATAATAACACAATGTTCTTTTCTCCCTGTTACTCTGGCAACGGTGCTGTTCCTTACTCCATCCTCACTAACTCAACAATTTTTGCCTGAAATAACATTCCTTCTGCCAGGAAAGCAGAGATTGCTCACTTTTGATAATCTCTTATCTTTGTTCAAATGCAAAACTACTTACCTTCCAACCAGATGGCAACTGCAGCCTCTGAAAGTACAATACATTTTTCTAGATTATCATTTTTTAAATCCCTGTTTTACTTATAAGGACAGAATACTGTTAACAAATACATGTAAAGTTCTATATTCTGTGCGTGTATTTTGTGCTGATGAAACACGTATTACATTAAGCCCTTGTACAGTTCCATCTTTATAACCCGTTTGGGTTCAATGTCAATGAGCATATTTTCAGCATGCAGATATTGAGGCAAAAGAGGGCCTAAAGGTTATTTTACTTTTAAAAGGAAATTAACTGCAGCAACCCAACCTACTCTGCTGCTTGGCAACCTGCTTTTGAAATAGGGAAAAGTTTAAAAGCAGCTTCTGTTTTTATGTAGGGATGACCTTATTTAAAGAAAAAATATTTTCACAGAGCTAGTTTATGCTCTTTTCAAACACCCAAGTAGCAACTAGGATCTGAGGTTTAGTAATTTGTATATTAATTGTCAGATTTATTTTTCACACATGAAATGCTTATGTGTTTAAAGAAATTATCAGTTGAGACTTCAGTATTTTCTTGTTTCTTTAACTTTCCTAGGGCAAAGTTCAACAAGCTGCAAAGTGTGGTTTTCGTTGGAGATACATAGTATGCCAGCACCACCAGAAAAAACCTTGAGTGTGGAATGTCCTGTTCTGGTAAGGAGTCTTCTTTTGCTGGCACAAAGAAAAATATCTTAGTTGTGTACTTGTTTTACTAGAACGAGATATATTACAAGGAGCTCTTGCATGCAGCAAGCAATCTAAATGCACATATAAGGATATGTAAGGAGGACAAATACTTAGATAATACTCAAGTGTCATTTTATAACATAGTTTCAACCTGTTAGGATAGGTTTTTAAAAATAATCCATCCTGTAGTCTATTTAAACCTGTATATTTCAGACTATGGTGTATTCCACTACTGTGTTTTCCACTATTATATGTTCTCGTTGTTGTCTTACTAAAACATCTGCTTAGTCTATGTGATAAGAGAATAGTGGACAAGATTAGACCAACAACAATAACAAGACATTGGGTTCTATTTTTTTTTAAATGATACAATCAGGAGTATATTTCATTTCCTTCAGAGGACATTGCTTCCAGATATATCTGTTCAGGGTCAGGTTACTCATTATGCTTATTTTATCAGGACTAATAACAATGATTAGTTAATAACCTAGACATATGAAATTCGTCAAAGGCATATCATTGCTCATGTATGCAAGTAAAATCTTGTCAATACAAATCAGTCAACACAATCCAAACCATGACTGTGAAATAATATGTTGGTGGACCTAAAGGGCTTTTAGGGCAAATATCTCGGAGACCATATAGAAACAAGTCAAATCTCATGTATAATTTTGTTGCACATATCTTTTCCATTTCAGTGGTTCGAGCCGTTACTCAGATTTTAATTTCTTTGGATTAGGTTACTAGTGGTAGCTTTCTTTTTTGTGTAATTATATGGGTTATTTGCTCAGGTTAATGTATTAAACACTAGAACAGGTTTTCCCATATTCTATACTTCCATATTAACCACTTACACACCCAAAATGCTATTATAGAATGAAGTTTAGTCGTTGAAGTTGTCCATTTTCTCCAATTTGCTAGTTTCTTCAGATACACAGAGTTCTTCATATGGAGGGTTTTTTTTTTTGCTATTTCCTTAGCTTAAGGCTTCCTTAGTCTTTATAAGAGCTAATTTCTTGAAAAAGGAAGGTACTGTCAGCATTATTTGTAAGGCTGAGATTCTGAGCAGCTCTGCCATGGGAAACTTTTTTTGATAAAAAGAATAGCAAGAACAAGCAGAGCAACCAACAACTTAATAATAAAACATGAAATAACTGAGAAAGATCCACCATTTTTACAGACAGGGAACACTAAAGCTTAGATTAATTCAAAAGACTATCATTGAATCTAGGGCAGAATATATGCAGAGCAGATCACTCTTGAAAGTGAGCCATGGCTTCAAGTTCATGTCATAATAGCTAGGATTGCTTGTGTGCGGTTTCAAATAACCATTTGGAACTCCCAGGAAGCAGCTCGTAAGACTGGTTGATAACATCTGGTAGACCTGAGCCATACTCAGTCAGCACCAGCTAGTGAGGAAAGAACCTTCACTGACTGTCTTCTAGCCTATGACAAAACTATAATATCCCAGGGATACAATGGGGCAACCTATATTGAAGAAGCTTCTACAACATGGGTCAGCTGCCACAAGTATGCTGCTTTCAGTAAACAATGCGGGAGAAAGTTCATTTTATATCAACCGGAAGGCAAGAAAAAATCCAACTTACATTATAGGACAGATAGAACAGATCTGTGTAAACAGTCTCATGTATATATGCATGTATAGCTTGAATATTCCTTATCTGGAATTGTGAAATCCAAAGCCCTCTAAAATCATCCTTATTGGTGGCTTTTTTAATGTCAGAAGTGACTTGAGAAACAGCAAATCGCTTCTAGTGTGAGTGAATTGTCCGTCTGCAAGGATGTAGCCCAGGGGATGCCCAGATGTTTGATGTTTTATCATTCTGTCGAAGGCTTCTCTCATGTACCCACATGAGAAACTAGAGCTGAGATGGGAGCTCACCCTGCTCCCCAAATTCAAACTGCCAACCTGTCAGTCAGCAGTCCTGGCAGCACGAGGGACTAATCCATTGTGCCACCAGGAGCTCCACTCTGGAATACTCTGCCACCTGAAGTCCGTGCCTTGCGGGACTTATCAGCTTTCCGCAGGGCATGTAAGACATATCTGTTTTGACAGGCCTTTGATTTTTGATATTGCTGTTTTTAAATTGTTTTAAATTGTTTTTAAATGGTGTTAGATTTTAGCCATTCTTGTAAGCCGCTCCGAGCCCCAGGAGAGTGGCAGCATATAAGTTCGAATAATAAATAAATAAATAAATAAATAAATAAATAAATAAATAAATATTGGTGGCTGAGAGAGTAGTACATATGCTTTCCAATGGTTCAATATATACATTATGTTTAGTACACAAAAATATTAAAAATATTGTGTATAAGATTAGCTTTAAACTGTGTGTATAATAAAAATAAATTAAGTTCATGTTTAGGCTTGAGTTGCATTTCATTATTAAGATATTTCATTATGTATATATATGAATTCATTTTTAAAAACCCAAAATATGGAACTTTTTGTTCCCAAGAATTTGTGGCAAGGGATACTCAGCCTGCATGTACTAAATGAGTGTATTATTCAGCCTTTCTCCAAGCATGCGACCCAAGGGCACTTACAAGACAGATCAAAAGAAAGTGCAGCTAAAAGTCCAGAAACAATGAAATAAGCTATCCTATTAAAAACAGTGATTTGAAACAGCTTAAGATATATTCAAACATAGCAACAAAGATAACAATATAGAACACACATTTTGTCTCTAAATGAAAATAAAATGGCTCCCAGTGTAAACAGAAAAGAAAACAGGCCATTGGAGTCAACTACGTTATGTGCATAAGTATCACACAGATGTATTTTGTACAATACCTGTGTTTTTGTGTATGTGTTGTCCTTTTTAAAGCCTTTTTCTCAAAATAGATTATTTTTACTGACTTTTTGTTAAAACAGGACATTTTGTAGTATACCATAAAGATATGATAGAAGCTTGGACAGAGAAGTTTCACATGAAATCAATGTCTTCTTAGAGAAGATGTCATGGCTTGGAAATGCTTTTATTGTTTCTTTATGAAAAGAATGGGGTGACTGCTAAGGGGAAAAACTTTTAATGAGAATAAGATCAAATGAGATCTAGCTTTAGCTCAATTTACAGTAGAGCATATAGTACTTAGACTTGGGAAACTTCAGGTTGTAAAACTAGTAAGCCTGCAAAATGAACTTGGGGAATTTTTTTTAGAAGCTCTAACGTTGGCATGTTTTTAAAAAGCTGTCTTTATTTGTGCTTTCCTGGAAGTGCAACATTTTAATTTAGTGGGGGGAAAACCCAACAGATTTCTGCCAAGTTTCACCAAATAAACAAATTGTTTGTTAGACTGTTTCTTTATAAGTATTCTGGAGTTTCATTCCAGCAGACTTATGCCATCAGTGCATTATGAACATGTTCTCTGTTTACATGGGCAGCCACCTCTGCAGTTAAAAGAGAAAAGTGTTGTTTTTTTTAATGCAAGTTATTTCATTCTCTTTGGTTGTCTGGGAAAATAATACAGCTATTCAGAAAGTAATGGCAAAACAAAAATACCCATTTTCCATATGCAGTTTTGAAAATGATCTTTAGGAATGTATGACATTTTTGAAATATGTTGTTAAAATATTAATGGTCAATGAGTTCATTGGTACACGAAAAAGCAAACAAAATCTCTGTTTGTTGGGAGACTGTTTAAATGTGTTTAACTTTAGAAAATGAGGAATGCAAATTTTAGTAAGGGGAATTTTCATTTAATGTGCATTCATACATACAAATAAACATGCAATACAGGAGACTACATATGCCTTGTGAAATATAGGGATATCAACACCAATGTATATCTAATGATATAGGACATCATGATAGATTTTTTGTTGATCAAAATTACTTACATATTACTTTCTGGTCCTTAAAGTGAAACATTATAACAAAAACAACAAATGTAAAAGCAAAGTAAAAACAAAAATGAAATATTATTTGAAACACAAAAGAAAAACACAAATCTGCTATTCATCTAATATGTAGTAAGCATAGAGCCTCCTTCCCTTTCTAGGCACATAGGTCCATAGTTTGAGATCTTGCTTCACAGAAGCCCAGGTTTGTGTATATAGTATCATAGAATAATAGAGTTGGAAGAGACTACATGGGCCATCTAGTCCAACCCCAAACGCAATCAAAGTATCGCTGATAGGTGGCCATCCATCTGTTTAAAAGTTTTCAAGGAAGAAATTTCCACCACACTTCCAAGGCAGAGTGGAACCTGTTGAACAGCTCCTACAATCAGGAAGTTCTTCTCAATGTTCAGGTGGAATCCCCTTTCCTGTAATCTGAACCCATTGCTCCTAGTCCTGGTTTCAAGGGCAGCAGAAAACAAATCTTCTCCCTCTTCCTTATGACACCCTTTCACATATTTATATATGGTTATCATGTCTCCTCTCAATCTTCTCTTCTGCAGGCTAAATATACTCAGTTCTTTAAGATGCTCCTCATAGGCATGGTCTCCAGATCTTTGATTATTTTAGTCGCCCTCCTCTGGGTACCTTCCAGAATTGGACACAATATTCTAGGTGAGGTCTAACCAATGCAGAATACAAAGGCACCATGACTTCCCATGATCTTGACACTATACTACTTTTGATGCAGCCCAAAATCCCATTGGCTTTTTTAGCTGCTGCATCACACTGTTGGCTCATGTTCAACTTGTTGTCCATGAAGAATCCAAGACCTTTCTCACGTGGACTGTTGTCAAGCTAGGCATTACCTGTTTTGTATCTTTGCATTTCATTTTTTTCTGTCTAAGTGTAGTATTTTACATTTGTCCTTGGTGAAATTCATTTTCTTAGTTTTGGCCCAGCTCTCTAATCTGTGATGGTCATTTTTCAATTCTAATTTATTTCAAGATGAAGACCACTTCTAGAATTGTATTGAAAGCACAATTCAGCTTGGAAAGAAACCTCTAGTCTGCATCTGTCTTGTGATTATTATTTTTTTGCCCAC